AGAGGGATGGAGTACCTCTCCTATGAGGAAAGGCTGAGAGAATTGGGATTGTTCAGACTGGTGAAAAGAAGGCTTCAGTGTGACCTAATTGTGGCCTTCCAGTACATGAAGGGAGCCTACACGAAAACTGGAGAGGGACTGGTAATGTTAAGGGCAGGTAATGTTAAGGCAGGGGTGGATGGCTTCAAACTGAGAGTTTAGATTAGATATTAGGTAGAAATTAGACACTGTGAGTGTGGTGAGGCACTGGAACAGGTTGCTTAGAGAAGCTAGGATGCCCTATCCATGATAGTGTTCAAGGCCAGGCTGGATGGGGCTTTGAGCAACCTGGTCTAGCGAAAGGTGTCCCTGTCAATGGCAGGCAGTTGGAACTAGATTATTTTCAAGGTACCTTCCAACTCAAACCATTCTATGAGTTTGTGATTCAAAAGGCCTTGTCTTTTTCAGGTCCAAGTGTTAAACATTTAACAAGTTAACAAGCTGATAGCAGCAGATCTACAGTTATATTTTGGAACCTTGTATGACACTAAATATGGAAAATGCTTATGCACAATGAAAATGAGGACAAAAGATGTTTTGACAACTCCTAATTCTGTGCAAAACTGAAGAGACCACAGCGATCCATCTTTTAATGTTAGACCTCACTATTTTATTTACAGACAATAAATGATTGCATTTGGGCTTGAACACTTACACTTGCCACCTGTAAGCTGCACTGACACAGAAAGGCAGGTAGCAACATATGGAAAGGCTAGAAGTGAACATTAACCTTCTCTGAATTTAAACTCACCAGCCTCTGCAGCTGACACTAGGTGTTCGGTTGCACTGAGACTTTCCATCTTTCCTTCCTTCTTGTAAGCTTTGATGGCATTGTAACTGGAAAATGTAAAATATAATTTGGTAAAGGTGAAAACAGATCTACATCATAAAAAAAACAACCCCAAAAGAACAAAACGCTTCTCTTGAGATCATGGTGGCACACAGCCTTTGAAAAAAAGATACCTAAACTATTTTTGTTTAGTTGATTAGTTGATCTCTGAGCACTTAGATCTTTAAAGTGAACTATGGTAATACATATTTAAATTGTATTATTAAACTGTCAGTATCAATGGGACTGCATCTTGAAACAGCTATCAGATCTCAAGAATTAACTTCCAAAAGAACAAATTAGATAGCCTCCTTTTTATTGAGAGCAACACTGACAAGTAGCTATCTTCTAGCTCATAAATACACTGAGTTTTCTTCTCTTGTTCTAGTTTGTAACCTTGTGGATTAAGAAATTGCCAACAGGAGCTGAACTGACAACAGGAATCTATAGCAAAGCTTAAGGACTAAAGTACAAAAATAACAGAGTCTAGACAAATGACAAGTGATGTTTGCATAGCCATACCAGCTAACTATCCCCTAGTATGCTTCAATTAATAAGGTTCAGCAGTAAATCAGGTCACAGTTACAGAGTTAATACAGTAGAAAATTAAAAAATAAGCTTTATAAGCAAATCCCATCAACTGACAAAAACAATGAAAGAACTGTCACTAAAATGATTAGAAAACAGTTAAACATTTAGTTTTAGTAGAAAGTCTCATCATGTTCTCTAAGTCTTAACACATCAGTTTAAGTTTTTGTTTTTCATGAGGTTTTAAACACAGTGCAGTGGCACTTTTACAGAATTCTTCATGAATAATATCACCATTCCTCAAGTATTTTTACAGCATCAAGGTGATGCACTGTACCTGACAAAGGAACAAAGTCTCTGAAATTTGAAAATAGCAAACCATAAAAAAGGGTAACAGACCTGGACTAACTAAGAGAATCACAAGTCTTTAAGTCACTTAGCACATTTTTACACCCCCCCAAAGAAGAAGCAGTGTATATCTGAACATTACATTGTGCAGGATATGACACATTTTACAGTTCTACTTACAAGAAAAAGTAAAGTCCCCAGGAAGCCCCTGCTCCCACCATGTTTGGAGTTACCCCCTGATATAAGCCTCGTAGTCCTTCATGCTTCCAGACAGTGGTCATGCAGTGGAGAATCCCACTGTATTTTGGCCTCAGCTCCAATCCATCACTTACTATGAAAGAAAGAAATTAAATTGGAAAATATTTCAGCAAACATAAAGTTCAGCTGTGTCAAAGCCACCAGAGAAGTCCACAGCCTCCAAAGCAAGCTGCAAATGAATATGACCTAACTGATCAACTGCATTTTAAAAGTTTTATTTCGCAAGCAAGCAAGAGTTGGGGTTTACAGCTTCTTAAGTCTAGAGTTAAAGAACTTTAAAAAAAAGGAGGGAAAAGGAAAATAAAAAAAAATAAAGAACTCTTTATCTCTGTAAGAAGAAATTTCCCATCGATCTGCACTGCTGTGCATTTATGGTGAGCAGCAGCTTCGACTTTAAGTTTTTTGTGTCTTCTTTTTAGCACCCCTCCAATTTTGTATTATATTTCACATGATACAGGTGGGGTCCTTGACAACACATTTCTAAAAGGAGTCTCAAATAACAATGCTTAAATTCAATCTTCCTCTTTAAAAGGTTCTAAAAGGCAATGAGTCATGTCTTCCTGATGATTTCCAAGTCAGTTTTTATCAGAATACTCAGTTTACTTCCATCAAGAATTCCTGTGCTCTTCTATTCTCATTGAATACATTTGCAGGGAAACACCAGATGCATTCACTTCTCCCACCTAATAACCTAACAACTGGTTGTCCAAATATTCAGAAAATATCACTGTCAAAAATAGAAAAAACACACAAGTTTTTGTTTGACAGATTTCATGTAGAACACGGATGTCCACACAACTCACAGTGGTAACTACTATTGCTCCTACCATAACAGCAGGGGGGTAAGCTCGTTACTGGTGATATATCTGGTACGGTGCATGGTGAGATGACAAGAGGTAACAGACACAAGCTGTAATATAAGGAATTCTGACCAAAATTTTTTATCCAGCAGAGTGGCCAAATACTTCAACAAGTTGCCTGAAGAACATCTTTGGAGCCACTAAAAAACCCATTAATCTCAAAGTTTTACAATCAATGTAGTTTTTGAGTCCCCATCAAGATTAAGTCAGGTAAACAGTTTTCTGTTCAATGACACATTAATTATTCATTTTCCTTGAATTTTGTTTACAGTCTGTACGTAGTGACAGACTTCACAAAATGCTTTTTGAGCATATTGTGACAAGGCCTCAACACCTTGACAATCATGCAAAACTAGAAAAAAATTAAAAGACTCTTTTCTCCCCCCTGAATAAGCGCTGCTAAACCTTTCTCAAAGACATTTCTGATTTTTTTTACCAGGTTTATAAACAAATTAAACAATGTGGGAAATCAAAGACATGAATGCAAGTCTGTCAGTCAACGATGCTGCCAAGAATCTTCACAACATTCATTTCTAATATCAGCTCTTACTCCCTGGTTGAAGATAAAACATAGGAGCTGCTATTTTCAACCCAAAAAAGCATGTGAAAGTAAGTGACCTCCAAAAGCCATCTAATCCAAACCCATGCTCAAAACAGATCTAATTAGATCTGGTTACTTAGGGACATGACCAGTTGACTCCTAAATGTTTCCAAGGCTGAAGAGATTACAGCTTCTCTGGGTAACCTTTTCCAGTATCTGACCACTCTCACAGTAAAATAATAAGTGTAATTTTCCACATTCATGCTTGTGCCCGTTCCTTCTTACCCTATTAACTATTCAGCTCCAAGAAGAATCTGGTTTTACCTTCTCTGAGTCCTCCAATCAGATTGTCATAGATTGTAATTACATCTCTCCTCAGCCTTTCCTGTTTGAGGCCAAACTGATCCTGTTCTCCTATGTCATGTGCTCCAGCCCCTTTATCAGCCTGGTGGCCTCCACTGGAATCACACTAGTATGACACTGTCTTCCTTCCTTGTACTGGTGAGCCCCAAACTGGACACAGTACTTCAAATGCAGTCTTACAAATGGAAAATAGAGAGAAAAAAGCACCTCTGCTAGTTATGCTTTTCATAACACAGCCCAGGATGTGCCCACCTAGGATACGTAAGGAACTGTTTAAATCCAACTTTGTAAAATGTCAGTTTGGAAACGTAATGCTGTAAATTTTGTAAAACCCCTCTGTGACAGTTCCCTGTTTGTTTCTGACATTCTAAAACACCCATGTGTCTAAGATAACAATCCAGAGATACAGCAAAATGTTTCAACCTCTCTAAAAGAGAATATGATAAATGGGGGACGTGTTTGTCACATTAACAGAAAAATTAAGAGAAGCTGCCACGTTCCCCTGTGAAAAAAAAAAAAACAAACTAGTTAAGAGTTTTCTGCTAAACAATACCACTACTGTTAACAACCCGGGTTATTACAAAACTACTGCTACACTCTGAGTGTTGAAAATCCTTGACATAGAGGTGAACTTCGAACGTGGGCTTAGTACAAATCCGCCTGTTAAAAGCAGACAGCGCTCCCGTGTCCTCTGGCACCGGTGATCACGAAAGGGAGGGAAGGGCCTGCCCAGCCCTCGGATCTGCCCGTGCTCGAGGCACACGGCACATTTTACAGCCCCCAGCAACGACAGGAAGAGTGAGCTTTGGGATAGCGGGGAAGAGAACCGGAGACCGTTCCTTTCGGCTCCCGGCCAGTTTATCCCAAGCCGTGGGGCTGCCCAACGCAGGGGCTTTGGCAGCACAGCGCGGCGCGTCCCGGGCCGGGCACGGCGAGCCGGGGCACGTGCGTGCGCCTGTAGGACGGGACGGCGGGGAGGCGGCCGGTCCGGCCTCACCTGCGAAGCGGATCTTGACGAGGTCGAGCGGGTGCAGCGCCAGGGTGGACAGGACGCCGCCGCTCATTCCCGCCGCCAGGTTCTCCAGCCGCACGTGCCGCAGCAGGGACGGCGCGCGCGGCTCCAGCGCGGGCGGCTCGCGCGCGGCGCACGCGGGACCCGAGGCGCCCATCGCCGGCGGCGCGCGGGCAGGGGGCGGGGCGGGGCTCGCGGCCTCGCGCGAGAGCGGCCCGCGCGCCGTGTCCGGTCACGTGCGCGCGAGCTTCCCGGTGGAGCCGGCTCGGGCTCGGGATTGGGGAGCGGGGGCCGAGATGCGCGTGAAGATACTGAGCCGTAACCCCGACGACTACGTGCGCGAGACCAAGTTGGACCTGCAGCGCGGTGAGCGGGACGCCCGGAGCGGGGCTCGGGTCATGTCGGCCCGGCCGGAAGGGCCGAGGCGGCGGCGGCGGAGGGAGGGAGGGAGGGAGGGAAGGAGGAAGGACAGGAAGGATGGCAGGCGCTCGTGCGCCCGCCGGCCGCGATCCGCGCAGCCCCTGGCGGGCCGTGGGCTGCCCTCGCTCCCTCCGTCCCTCCCGTCGTAGGGAGTTTTTCCCCGCAGTGCCGGTCCTGGGCGGCGATTTTCGTGCAGTGCCCATCTGCGGAGAAGAACTTCCTTGGCCGTGCCCCGGGACCGGGCGGCGGCCGAGAGTGGCATCTCGGGGTGTCGGAGCGCGGTCTGGGAACAGAGTCAGAGCCGGAGTGAGGAGTAGGGGTTTATTACCACTCTGGTACTCCGAGATTACATTCAGTATTACCGAAATTACTTTTAACAGTTTTTTGCACTTACTGCTGTTTCGGTCGCGTTGTGCTTTTTGCATATCCTTTATTAAAACTGACAAAAATCGTTAGATTTTACGCATAGAATCACAGAGTCGCAACAGGCCCTGCTAAGGAGTCCCTCCCCAGCTTTCTTGTAGACCCTCTTTGAGTACTGAAAGGCCACCATAAGGTCTCCTTAGAGCCTACTCCAGACTGAACAGCCCCAGCTCTCACAGACTTTTCTCATGGGAGAGGTGCTTCATCCCTCTGATCATCTTTGTGTCCCTCTTCTGGACCTGCTCCAACATGAGTTTTTAATGTCTGTGTTCCTCTTATTGCAGTTCCAAGGAACTATGACCCTGCATTGCATCCATTTGAGGTTCCACGAGAATACACAAGAGCTCTGAATGCAACAAAGCTGGAGCGTGTGTTTGCAAAACCCTTTCTCAGCTCACTTGATGGCCACAGAGATGGAGTTAATTGCATGGCCAAACATCCAAAAAGTTTGTCTACAGTGCTGTCTGGAGCATGTGATGGAGAGGTAAGCTTACAAACCACAACGAACAAGGTACCTTTCTTCCTTATTTTCTATTTTCTTTCTCACTGGTGTTTTGTTTGATTGGTTTTGTTCCACTTTACTCTTCTTTTATGTCTTTGTTCGGCATAATTTACCTTCACTCGGGAGATTCAGATTTCCCAGTCTGGGCAGTGTTTCCCAAACTGCGGGTTGTAATTTTCCAGCACACCAAGGCAGAAGCTTTCAGCTGTGCATCTGTGAGCAGAGAGTGTGCCATTCAGTTCCTCAGGATGGAACAGTGAATGTTAATTTATACATTCCATAGTGATTGCTCTTTGCTGCCCACATGATCCCCCTCCTTCCCTTGAAGAAGTTAAACTGCTGCAGATTAAGAGATTGCATGAAGTCAGATGAGCTAGGGGGAAGGGGCACACAACCAAAAACTTTTTTGAATAGTATTTTATCGTATTGCCTAAGAAAGCTAACCTTATATTTGTTTGATTATTTTTCATAGCAAGAAAAAAAAACCTGCAAGGACACTTTAGTTAGCGAAATCTGGAGTTGTAGAAAAAACTAACCTGTCTTCTCTGTCTTTTCTCACCCTTACGGTGTTCATTTGGTGGTGCTTGTATAATTTAAAGGTGTCTTCTGGGTCGCTGGTTTCTTCCTGCTTTTTATAGAAAGTGCGTATGTCATGCACTAGTGTAAGAGTGATTTACCTTTTTAAAGAGAAGGGGAACCAATTTATATGAAACTTTAGCCAGATTTGTTATCTCCTGATAGAGTGAATAAAGTACTGGGTGCTATAAATACCTACAAATATTAAAACTGACCTCAATTTCTTTTTTTTTTCTTTAATTAGCCCAAATACTTTGAAACCAAAACCTCTCTGAGGGGTGGACATCTGTATAGAATGTAGTACAGCAACTGGACTGAAAACATTGTTTGTTCCAAAGGCTATTTCCTTGTGCTTTTGTCTATAGAGTCTTTTTTTCCCCCTAAATTTATAATTGCTGCTTTTTTAGCAAGAATTCTAGTTCAAAAATAGGAGAATGCAAAATGCAGAAAGTGTACAGCTTAGGTGGGGGAAAGGGGAAGGAAGGAGAGAGCCTCACTTTTTTTTTTTTTCCCAAGAAGGGAATAATAAGTGGTTTTTTACATTATGAAGTTTGACCATTGTTCGAGCCAGCTGTGCCATTTCATTACCTTGTACTTGAATTGTGAACTGCAGTGGTGAACTGTAGAAAGCTTACAGAATATTTACCTCTCTGTTTTTAACAGGTTAAAATTTGGAACTTGACCAGACGACAGTGCGTTCGTACTATCCAAGCCCATGAAGGCTTTGTTCGAGGCATGTGTGCCCGTTTCTGTGGGACATCGTTCTTCACGGTAAGCACAGTGTGTCTCCTCAGTACAGTGCAGCCGTACAGAGTGCCTGTTCACCATCTGTTTTCCACTGAGAAACTTGCTCCCTGCCATACAGTCTTTAAATATTGTATGAATACGCTTATTAAATTTGTCAGTGAACCTGACAGTTCTATTTATGATAAAATTGTTTCTGATGCTGTGATACGGATACTATTCAAGACAGTTGAAAGGATAGAGACCAGAAAATAGCTAACAGATGGTTGTGTAATTAAAACTTGAATAAACTACTTCTCATTAAAGTAGTAAATAGATTATGTTCATTGAAAGATAGAAAAGTGTAAAAAGGTAACCATTTGCATATACTATGATTAAAGATAATCTGATTGAATCAAGATCACTCCATGCGAATTAAGCTTTATTAACTTAAATCAATCACAGCAGGTTCAGTTGCATGTAAACGGTCTGGAAATAGTATGTCCTCCTGTTTACATTAAAACAGTTCTAAGATGACACAATAAGAAGAACTGTTTTTAAAATCTAGAGTGCCCCGAGATTTTGTTTCTTTTGAACTGGGTATAGAAGAGCCATTTTCACTATAGGATATTTATCTTTTCTGAAGTATATGCCGGCTCACAAGGACAGTAGTTAGGATATAGGGGAAGTCATAGTAAAAAATTCTAAGTGGCACCAGATTAGAATCCCCTTTTGACAATCCCTCTACCTGAAAATTGAGGGAGGGAGAGAAGAAACAGTAGTACTGCACTCAGGAAAGAAAGTTAAACTTGTAGACCTAACATTTTTTTAGGCCTTTTTGCGTGATCCAGGTCACTGCACAGCCATGCAAAAGCTTGTGCTGGCATTAGTGCAAGAGGTAGAATGGCATTCGAAACAGGCAGCTGAGCAACTGAGGTGGAAAGTGCCTTTTAACTGTTTACATGCTCATCAAAGTGACTTCAAGAAAGTGCTTTGCAGTTTAAGGTGCCAGTTGATTAAGAATTGTAAAATGTGTCTTTTGGAAAATAGTCACCACTCCAACTCACCTTTTGCCTATTCAACCCTGGAAATATCTGTTTTGGAAAAGCTTTGTGAATGAGGATAGACAGTTGAATAGGTGGTGGTAGGAAACACTGACAAACTGGAAATCAGTCACCTGCTTTCACAAGCTGACAGATCCCCAGAAAATCTCTGAGCAGCAGCCACTGTGGAAGCCAGCCCCCACCTCCCCTTTCTGCTTCCACTGTCCCAGTTTTTATTGCTGAGCATGATGTTCTGTGGTAAGGAATACTCCTTTGGCCAATTCAGGACATCTGTCACGCCTGTCCCCCCCCCAGTCTGTTGCCCACACTGAGCCTATTTGCTGGTGGGGGAGGCAGGGGTGATGACTGACACAGTGAGAGTAGAGGGAAATGCTCTGTGCCGTGCAAACACTGTTCAGCAATAGCCAAGACTTTGGTGCTTTATCAGCACTGTTTTAGCCACACACCCAAACCACAGTGCCAGATGGGCTACTATGAAGAATGTTAACTCCACTCCAGCCAGACCATGTACATGTTTCTAGCAAAATCTTATGACCAGGAGGGCTAATCTGCAGCTTGGAAGTATAAAACAGAACAGTGACAGGTAGGAGAAAGCACCTGTGTATATCATAGAACATTCTCTTTGAAAGGCTGCCTGTATTTAATTGCAAAGCACATCTAGCAAAATAAACACAGTATATTTACATAAAACTGTACATGCTTTCTCCAATATTTCCAGGTTGGTGATGACAAAACTGTGAAGCAGTGGAAAATGGAGAGCCCAGAATATGGAGAAGAAGAAGAACCTATTCATACAATTCTTGGAAAGGTAGTGAATCTGAGTTTTGGTTTTCCTGCATCTCTTCTTTTGAATTAAGTTTGAACGAATTCTTATTCAATTTTTTTGGAGGAGAGAGATATAGTTTGATATTACCTTTTATCTTAAGGGGTGTAAGGTGATGGCATCAAATTTTTTTATTACATTTATTTTACATGTAACCAGAAAGGAATATCTCAAATGCCATCAGAGATGCTGAGCTCTGTCTCTGCTAATCATCCCTCTCCTGCAAACTGGTCAGATCTTTCTATAGTCTCTTTCCCTTCAGAAGTGTATTGTCAGGGCTTAATCTGCATTAAATTTCTTTTCATGGCAGTACCTTGCAGCCATTCAATATATACTTTGGCACTTTCAATTTACGATCAGCTTATTTTAGAAAAAAAATTAAATACTTTTTGTAAATAGATAGTTTGAAACTCTTTAGTTGTTGTAATGTCTATGGAATCCATTCAGGTCCCCACTGAAAATTCATAGTCGTACCCTTAACATTTCCATTTGCTTGAAAGTCAGCCAGGACTTTGTAAATGTGCTTTTAATGCCAACTCCATTGTAAATTAACAAGAAATGCATGCATGCACCTTAAATGAAAAAGAAAACTTGGCTACTGGTAGGGGCACATCTGATAAGACTTAGTTTCTTGTTTCATTGGTGGCTTGATTTTCAGTAATATAAATGAATAAAAACATGGGAGACTCCATATGCAATGATTTGTTGATCTTTTTGGTAACAGAACATACTTGTGTATTTATACGTACAATTGGTTTTGTAAATTTTTGCTTTTTTTGTTTTTTTTTTTCTTTAAAGACAGTGTATACAGGAATTGATCACCACTGGAAGGAACCTGTTTTTGCCACCTGTGGCCATCAAGTGGACATTTGGGATGAACAAAGGACAAGTCCCAAGTGTTCTTTGACTTGGGGTTTTGATAGCATTAGCAGTGTAAAATTTAATCCCATTGAGGTAATGTTTATGTTATATATTGGAAATCAGTATTTTTCTTGAGCAGTATAAGATCTAAACTCTATTTACATCATCTTGATTTTTTTTTTTCCAAATTTAGATTTTGATATATGTTTTAACAGAATATTTGTGGGGGGTATACATAGATTTTTATGGCTATACTGATTTGGAATGTAGTACTGTATGTTTTTATATTTTTGTCTTTTATCTCTCTTAGTCGAGGAGAGCAGAAACAAAAGCAGGGCAGTCTCCATTCTGCCCACAGCAATACAGATCTGGTACCTCAGTCATATAGTGTAGGAGTTATGTGGCTGTGGAGCTGTCACCTGTTCCAGTATTGTACTACCTGTGACTGAGGCTTCTCACCCTCTCCATGGCAAAACAATCGCATTTGATCTTTTACAGCACTTCCTGTTACATCTCTTGACTGGACTGTGTTCATATCTGAAGTGTTTATGAGGAATTGCTTGTTAGTTCTAAAGTAGAGGGCACTGGGTGGATTCTGAATCTTACAGGGAAAGCTATTTAAAATGTTTGTGCTGGATAATCAGCTGCACAGAAAAAATGATGAATGTATTTCCTTGACTGAAAAAGAAACCGTTTGACTACCAATTATGTGAAATAGCTTAGGTATTTAATTTTAGCTGTTAACTACACTCTGGAAGCATTCAAACACCATACACACTGGTTTTCTTTTTCTTTTTTTTTTTTTTAGACATACCTTTTGGGAAGCTGTGCTTCTGACAGAAATATTGTGCTATATGATATGAGAAAATCAACTCCATTAAAGAAGGTAATATTTTTTTTTTAAGAATAATTAATGGCACTAATGATCATACTGGATATGTTAATAGCCTATAACTGTTGATGGCAATAGAGAAAAGAATGCTCTGAGCAGTGAGTTCATTGAGTTTTCATTGTCTGAGTCTTCTGAGTTTAAATTAATGTTGGGATTGAAACAATACAGAGTTAGAAGGGCCCTTTTCTGCATTCAGACAGGCTGTCATGCTCACTCTGTTGTAATTCTTGATCAAGTGCCTGACCTGACAGCAATTTCACAATAAGAACTTTATGTTCCTGTATTGCATTCTGTCTGTGTATGTGTGGTTTTTTTTAAATTTTTTTTTCTCCTCCTTGCCAGAAGGAAGCAAGGTATCTTCTACGGCATTTCCTTTCCGCCACTGGAGAGCCTTGCTCTGCATTTGAAAAGGTGTTTTTCCTTTGCAGGGAGATAAACTCTCCCCTATGCACCTACCATAAATATTCAGAAATCCTTTGCAGTGTAATCAAAATTGTATTTATATGTGGAACATACTGATGACATGAAGATTCCTGTTTAACAGAATGTATGTATTTATTTTAAACAAGAAGCTGGTAATTCATACACACATATTAAACCTCAATCAATTTCAGTATTATTGAGCCTCAGAACTGTTTTAACAATATTCTTCTTGAAATATGTTATTCTGGCTTGTGAATATACATTCAACGTCCTTCTGTGCTGCATACTTTCTGAAATGACATTGATCACTAGAACACTGTAATGGTACTTAACTTAGTTATAAAATAGGAATGTTGTTGGCATAACAGTATTTCTTTGTCTCCCTGTGCCCCAGCAATTTTTAATAAAGTATCATTTGGGCCACTGAGACAGTGTTTATAAAAACTTGTCAGTGATGCCAGTTGGAGACCTGAATGTTGACATGAACGCAGCCGATGCTGTAAAGCTGCAGTTACAAACTCAGAGGATGCAGTTTGAGCCTTTGTGAACTAAGTTCTAATCTAATGGAATTTTACATATGTATATATGCTAAAGATATAAAACTCTACATACACATGCATAATTGCATGTATGTATATGTGTATCTCATGTAAGCAGTGTGCTCAGGTGCATTTCCTGCCATGGGAGTAAAACACTGATGAGTACTTCCTTGCATCCATGGATACAGTAATGGGTTTTCTCCTGGAATAGAGATGATTCTCCTATGGAGTGGAAGTGAAATGTCCATTTCTGCATTGAGAGCTAAGAGCTCTGTAACTCCTAAGAGAAGGGTGCTTCTTATTAGAGGTACCTTACTTATGTACAGGCACTTGTTTCCAGCACTGCTATGTTCTTGGGGTTTGATCAGCAAAGCAGTTGGGACTCAGTGGGAGTCCCTTCATTAATGGCAATAGGAATACAACTTCCCACATCATGAAGCAGTAGCTCTCTTGCCCATTTGTCCTGTCTATGGGTTTCAAAGCCTTAAGTTTCAAAGAGGGAGGGATAAGATGGTGAGATGCTGCCTAAGTGCAAAGTACGAACTAGTCTAAAAAAGCTGGGAAAAGATGAAGGAAAACAATTCTGTTGAAAAACAAGAGGAAGATTTTTACTAGGAGTTGGTACACTTTAAAAGTCATTTTTGTGCAACCTATGGAAACAGGAAAGCTTAGGATATTTTAAAGATGGACTTTCGCTGACAGGAACTGTGCTTTCTCTTGCTTGCTGTATTCTTAGCTGTTCATTTCAACCAAATACCTTGTAGGTAGTAAAAGAAGACAGATTATTTTTTTGGGTGAGCAGGTTTTGTGTTAAAGTAATCTTAACATCTCCAAACTAAAGCTCTTTGTAAGCAAGTGTTCGTAGTTAAAATAAATAAACCAAGATAGCTAAATCTTCAGGGACTTCACAATTTTGGCTTGTCTTAATAAGGACTTACACTTACTCATTTCATAAGAAGATCTACGGTAGATTAAAAGTAGTGTCAGAAGATGGCTCCACTACAGGTTTAGATAGTTCTGAAATGCCATTATTAATGTATTTAAAGCAACTTAAATCACTTCCAACCCAGGCTGCCTTACATAATCCTAGAACTGTACAGAGAATCTGTTTCTTAGGCACTATTTTAATTCAAAAAGGCACTGCTGAAATGAACTGAATGCTTGTAAATGTCAGTGAAAAAATAGTGATGTGGAGCATGGACTGTGACCAAACTTGACTCCTTTTGAAAGAGCTGGATTTTTCAGCAATAGTGAAGTTATTTTGTGACATGATAGAAAATACTTATTATACATATAATGGGTTAACATTAATCATGTGCTCATTTTGCAGTGGTTGATAAACTTGTATAGGGAAGAATAAAGAACACTCCTTGATTAATAACTTCCCATATATGTGCAAGGTTTGTAACTAGAACAATATTGAAATCTTGAACAAATTCCAGTTGTCATATTACTGTACACATAGGGCATTTCAGTGGCCACTTTTTAAACTAGACATCACTTTAGACATCTGATGATTACATTCAGTTCTGAATGCACAGTTTCTGAAAATGAGCAATTTTCTGCAGCACAGACTTTATAATGAACAGGATAACGTCACCTAGGAAATGAGGACTTATGAAGAAGTGAGAATTATGAGAATATGCACACACTCATAAGCTCACAGTCTTTTGGAGAGATGTTTGGTAGAGTCATTACTGTAAGGGTTATAATTGTACAACTATATTCTAAAATATGTATGTAAATGTATGGTGTTTGGTGTAGTAAACCAAGAACAAAAATGAGTTTGGAGTACCATAGCATCAAACACCCAAATTTCAGGATCTTTAAGAAGGATTATAGCTGACCTGGAGCACTGTAGAAAATCCTGTTTAGAGTTGTTCAGTGGGTTAATAAGTTGCTCTGTAATTACACGTCCACTTTGTGTCAGGCATACTGTATAGTTTTTATTTTTAAATATGGCCAAAGCTGCTGTGTATGGTGTGTCCAATGACCTCCTCCCTGCCTTCTCTTCTCCTACAGAGGCCCAGCTGTTACTGCCACAGCTGTCCTCCAAGGTGGGGATGTCTGACATACAGCTTCTTAATGCCTCTTGTCTAGTCTGCAGTTAGCAAAGCAGAAGGGTCTTAGTCTGTTATCAGCTGCCCTCTTCCCACTTCAGGGCCAACTGGCCTCTTTGTTAGCCATATGCTTGCTAGCAGCAAGCAAATCTTATGAATGTGGAGCGAATGACTCAGTGCTGATACTGTGATAGTAGGGAGCAGATTTCAACACGGTAACTTCTGTATACACTGCTTGGCACTTCAACAAGAAATGGCAACTCTCCAGGAGAATTCATGAACTGCAATTTCAGAGATGAAATAAGGAAGGGATAGTAATAACTAGGAGAACATTAAAATGTTATAATTGCTTTGCAAATGCTGACTCACAGCTTCAATTAATGATTATATCCCTTGAAATAACCATTTAATTAGGCATGTCTATAGATTACTTAACCAAGGGTTCCTGTAAATATGATAGAGAAGTGAAATTTTTCAGAAGTTCCAGGTTTACTTGTAGACCACTAGTGCGTTGCCATGTTCAGTGACCTCTTAGAAGAATTCTAAGGTGATTTACGAGGAAAATTTAATGTCTGTGTAGCCCAAAGCAGTGGGCATGTGATGAGGGACAGGAGGTTCTTGAGTTTGGATTCTAACACTGCTGAGGCAACATGCTGTCATGTCACTGTTTCTCTGGCATGGTTGTGTATTTAGGAAGTGCTTGTCTCCAGTGGTGTATAGGAAGTTTTGAACTATAGTGAGTATTTTACTGCTGTAACAAGGTAGCAATGTGTAAATATTTTTCAGGTTATCTTGAACATGAGGACAAATACACTGTGTTGGAACCCCATGGAAGCTTTCATTTTTACTGCAGCAAATGAAGATTACAAGTAAGTGTGACCTTGCTTTTCAATACTTCTGGACATGTTACATTTTTAATCTGTGTCTTGGTGATTTATGAACATGCTAAAATGAATTTTTAAAAGACTACTCTAAATTTGAATCACTTAATAGCCTAGAGAATTACAGGCTTACTGATTGTAAGAAATATGAATTGATAGTAGACTACCTTTTTTTCTGCATTTCAGTACTTGAGGGATAAAAAGCAGTGTAACTTAGAAAAAGTGTAGTTGAACCAATGCAAATGTAACTTGCAATGGGACCCAGAAAATAAGTACTATTAGTCCAGTCTGAGGCAATATACGTGTTTATTGTCTTGCTGGCTCTTGCAAAGCTTGATATATTGTACTGATCAGCTATTTTGATAAAAACATTTCTTAAAAAAAGAATTTAATCTTCTCTGAAACAGTTCTGGAGACTGCAATACTTATCCTTTCAATGTCTTGAAGCAGTTTTTTACTTTTGAACAATACTATTCATGTGAAGAGCTAATCTGATATTGAAAAAGCTGTCTCTTCAAAACTAGGCCATTGCAAATGTGCTCCATATCCTCTTTTCCAGGAAGTCGGTGATCTAACAATAGATCACTGTTTTCTTCTAGAACATAGGAATTTTATCACTTAAGGCTGTTTTTCAAAGAAAATGGAATCTGGCTCAGACCTTGAAAGTGGGTTTTATATTCAATGTACTGTTTTTCTTGTGTTTGGGTTATGATATGATAAAGCCACTAGGCTACCTAATCTGTTTGAAAGTTTGGAGTTTTGTTTATAAATTTGCTTTTTAGTTGTTTTTCTGGTTTTTTGTTTGGTTGGTTTGGGGATTTTTAATTTTTTTTGGTCTTCCCCTTCCTAAACTAAAAACAATAGCTATTACTGTCAGGGGCAACTGTCGTCCTGCAGCCTAAAGCAGTTAATATGCAATGGCAAATGCATATATCAACATATATCAACACTTGCACTTGCAAGTGTTCACTGATTATGTGGAACAGCAGTTTTGAATATGATGCTGCATACTTTCTCTTGAATTTAAAAGGAAAAGGCAACAGTTACCGGTATACTATTCAGTAAGATACATTTAATTTGAGCTATGCATTCACTTGAATAAAGGAGGGTGAGAAACCTACTGAGTTAAAAATTGTTAATATAGTAATTCTACTGAATTCTTAAGCAGTTTTCATTAAATGCATTGTCTGTAAAGCACATTTGCTTATTGGCACTAGGCAAATTAATGATCTACGCAGTGGTTATGCCTCGCTGTGTATCACTGAGCTTGTTGATTCAAAGTGAGTAGAGGTGGACCTTATCTGAGCTTTGAAGTCCTTAAGAGCAAACCAGCTGTGGTCCAGCAGCTGGGTGTTTATTTTTAATGTAATGCTTTTCTACAGATAGTGTGCTCTGCTGAACTAGCATCTCCATGCATTGAAGGACTGGGCTTTCCTTGCAATCCTACATTGTCTGGCCTAAGATAATTAGGCAGTAGGAGAGAGTGCCAACCAAATGGAACTTTACAGTAGACTGAATTACAAGGAGTTCACAATATGAGAATATTTAGAAACCTTTCAGAAGTTCCCTCTGCAATATGGATCTGTCCTTAAGTGTGATTTATGTAAAATGTTCTATTTACTTAAGGAGTTTTTATGGTATTAAGCTGTTGATGTATTTATTTTAAAGCTTATATACTTTTGATATGCGCTATCTTGAATCACCTGTGATGGTGCATATGGATCATGTGTCTGCTGTTCTTGATGTGGATTATTCACCCACTGGGAAAGAATTTGTGTCTGCCAGCTTTGATAAGTCTATCCGCATTTTTCCTGTAGACAAAGGTCACAGCAGGTGAGTGGTTTTACACCTTTCTGTCTTGCTGTCATTCATTTCAGTGACTTCCCTCCCAAGTCTTCAAAACTATTAATTCCTTCATTAACATCTTCCTTGGAGCATTCACTTCCTGCGAATGTTGAAATCTGACTCTTGATAGCTCGAAACCGACAGGCCTTGTAGTTGATCTGATTCTGGAGTCTGTATCAAAAGTAGAACCACTCCCCAGGTAGCAGTACTTATGCAGTATGGAATTAAAATTACAATGGATTATTGTGCTTGGATGTAATGGCCAGTCTTCGCGAGCGAAGATTTGGGAAAGGTCATTAACCCT